CCATGGTGCATGAATCAGCCTAAACTATTGCTATGTCACCCTGTGCTTTTAAGAATAGGTGATGATGGAAGTGATTGTCTGCTTGAAAATGCAGTGTTCCAATCTGTTCTGCATTTCTCTTTTTCAGGGATAGAGACAATAATGTTGGCAGATATTTTGATTAAGATAATTAGGATAAAATTCATTAAAAGCTGACTTTCAGTTGGACTTTATTTTTATTATTAAATTATTTTAAGCAGGTAACACTATGACATCCCAATAAAAATCAATGTTTATTTTCATTTTAATCAATGTACTATTAGATTATTTCAGTATCAAGTGTATTTATTGGATGTCTGGTAGTTTTTGGCAACAACCTAGATGGAAAATTCTTATTCCTTTCCATACATTTAAATTTGTGTCATATAACCGTTATTCATAGAGACAGCCCAATCTATCTGTCATCTTTGTTGTCCTTTATGTTCATTTTTTATTTTAGTGGATCTAAAATGAATTATAATGGCAGTTTATTTAGAGCTTAGTTGATTATTTTAAATGCTATTTTTTTTTAAAAAAGGAAACAATTCGTCTAATGTTGGATTAAATGATGTATTATGCAGTTATTTTGTTTATCTTCATAGTATGCCATGGACCAAACAGTAAAAAAGAGAAGGCACCCACTGAAGAAGTACTGTAGATAAAAAAGTCTCACAAAATGCTAAGAAAAAAATAAGATCTACATGTTGCCCAGATACCTATGATGAAGTAAATGTCGAAGAGATGACGACTTCATAGCTAAATTAGGATTTCAGCCTAGATTTTCCTGCTTCAAGTCTGATACTTGTTCTGCCAGATCAGCCTTCCTCGCTAGTGCACTCTAAAAAAATAAATCTGTCAGTCGACCATTCAGAAAACTGAGTATGCAGTATGAATGAATAATATGCTGAAGGGAAATAATTTCATTGGTTTAATCATAGTTAGATTAAACCTTCAATAAATTATTTATTTAAACATTTTAAACTGTGCAATAGCTGAAGCACTCTGGGCAGTTCACAATAAAACATACTAAAAATACAATGAGAAAAAAACACACAAAACAATAAAATGAAAAATAAAAACACCATATACAGTCAGGACCAGAAATATTGGAACAAGGATAACTGTTTTGGCATTTGGCCTCTCTATACCACCACATTGAAGTTGAAAGGGAACAC